AACAAGCCCTACAATGGTGGCATCGCCATCTCCGCACAGTGCACAGGAAGATTTAAGCCCAACCTCACCAGCAGCAGCGGAGACAGCGCCGCCACCAGAGCGGCAGACACCGCAGGAAGAACGGCCACGGCCAGTTGGATTCATCCGTGTTTTTGCGGATGGATCTTTCGATCTAGTGACTCCCGAGAACCCGGATGCGCCGCTGCCTCTGCAACAAACAGACATGAACCGTTGCCTATGCATAGTGAAAAGCGCGGCGTATGAGTTAGCGCGAGATGATGTTCCTCGCGTGGAAAGCACAGCGGGGCCAACCCCCGCCGACAGCAGCGGCGAAGCCCAGCCGCCAATGGAAAGCACAGCGGCGGCAACCCCTGTCGTCAGCAGCGGCGAAGGTACCACCGAGCCGCAAGTGGAATGCATTGCGGCGACAGAGTCCGCCGCCGCCACTGGCGCAACCAACGCGGAGACGCCAAATCCAGCGGACGATTCCGCCCAAGCCAGCCAAGCACTAGCGGCTGACACAGCGGGAGATGCTCCTGCAACAGCTGCAAGCGCGCCCATGGAAGATGCTGCAGGCAATGCGGAGGCAAACTCCGCGGTGACAGGAATGTCGACAGCGGCCAATGCCGCAGCATCGGAGCTCCAGAGCGGTTCCGCACGCGGACGTTCTAGGAAGCGAAGGAAGCGGCAACGCCATAAGCGGCCAAAGAGCCCACGAGCGTAGACCTGTGCCTTGACATGCTGCAAAAAGTCGCTTCTCTGGCTTTCACACATTTGCTGCACTTCTCCATCTTTATGGTCTCTTATATCATTGCATTTAGTTCTTAAACGTTTTTTTTAATATCCGGTTGCAATGCGTTTTCTCCACTTACGCGTATCTTTTCTTTCTCTGCTAAGTTTCTGTATTTTGATGTATTTTGTCATGGTTGCAAAACATATCTTCCACTTGTCCCTAGTCTTTGCTTCTATATCATTTCAGTCCTTTCAGCAGTGTGTTTTTTATTTTGGGGTTGCAGGTTGCATGAACTTTTTTCTTTCTGTCCTTATTTTTTGTTTTTGTATCGTTTTTTATTCAATTTACCTCGTTATGCAATCGCTTTGTTCTTTCCTTTCTTTTCCATCGCCAACATGCTGAACTATGTGGATTTTGCAAGGCGTCCTTTGGTTTTTGCAGATTTTCATTCAAAACCCACGTAAACCTTATATGCCAGAGGCCACGTCCAATATCCAGCATAGACCCACTAGATAGACAGTCAAGAGACAGCAGTCCCAACATTGTCCTGCGCGGTCTTGGGCAGGCACGGTTCGGGCCTTAGTCTTGCTTGGGTCAGGCACAGGTCGGGACAGGTCGGGCACGGGTCGGGCCGGGTCGGGCGCGGGTCGGGCCGGGTCGGGCGCGGGTCGGGCCGGGTCGGGCGCGGGTCGGGCCGGGTCGGGCGTGGGTCGGGACGGGTCGGGACGGGTCGGGCATGGGTCGGGCTGGGTCGGGCGTGTTTCCGGCTGGGACAGGTTATCTGGGGCAGGGTCGGACATTAGCTTTGTCATGCATCCCGCGTCTTTGTCATAAAACCAAGCCACTTTGAGGCTCCTGGCCTTTGTTCAGGCAGTCGTTTTCTCTTTTGCCGAAGGGTTTTCGATTGAACTCACTTGGCATCAGCATGTTTTTATCAAAAACATTGCTGCAACGATGTTTTCGAAGCCTTTTCAAGGAATTCTCAATAATTTTCACGTCGAAAGCTCAATCCACTGACATCTAAGGACACTCAGCTGGAAACGCAATTTCTTCATAGAAATCATCGACTTTGGCATTGAATTTTCCTTAAGTACAGGTGTTTTGTGTTTAGCACGTGAGAAGCTCCCAAGCCATGCCGAAACGCCCTGCAAAGCGACGCCGGCAGCAGCCGCTGCCTTTTGCAAATGCCACATTAACGTCAGCGGCTAGGAATGGACCGCGAGACATGAAGGAAAGGGACATGTGGCCAGAGCAAGTGATCGCAGATCTCGACTGCAAAGGCCTTGGGGAAAATATTTCAAGAAGCTTACAGCAAGGTTGTGTCCTGACAACTGACTATAGCGGGATAGGTACTGCAGAAGAAGCAGCGAGATGCCTTAGCATAGCCGCAGCTTGCAAAGCTCATGGCGAAGGAAGGGTTCAGTATGCAGCCCGTGTGCTGTGCCAGAGGGCTGGAGACAAAGAAGCGGATTGCCGCCAAATGCTCCTGGAGCGAAATCATGCTTTGACGCATGGGCCTGTGTGCGTCCATGGGGATATCGGAGAGCGGTGCGATCGCAAAATATGGGAAAATTTGCATCGGAGTCTTCAGCGCTTGCAAGCCTCAGAAGTGTTGAGGCTAGACACAGATCCAGCGAATTTCGCAAAGGATTGTTTTGGCCAGGTCATGAAGCAAGATCTCGTCGGAGTAGCGGCACATTGCTTTCGACACGGCAAGATGTGCTCCGTAAGCAGAACCAGGAGCGGCACAGATGCCGCAGAATCCGATAAAGATGCTTTGAATCTGCACGTAGCGGGATTCAACTGCTTTGACTGGTCACTTATGGGAGGTCGGAAAGGCTGGTTTGGACTGAGCACGCCTGCATTTATGCAATGGTTAGCAGAGCGAATGCAGTTTGACGAAGATGATTGCATTTTGTGCGAAAACACGCCTGCCTTTGATTTAAAGACGCTAGCGGAACTCACCGCTGAGAAGTGGCACATGCAAGTGATCCGCGTTTCTCCGACGCTATTTGGACTTCCTGTTGAGCGGAAACGCATTTATATTCTGTTGCTACGCAAAGGCAAATGGCGATTCCAAGGCCTTGTTGCAAGTGCAAGCAGCCAGAAGCAAGCAGATGAAACCAATTTTTTCTTGCTGCAGGAGCAATTTGATTCCATCTTTCAGCGCAACATCGTGATGACAGCGGGAAGTCAATTCCGAGCTCCGGAAACATGCAAACAACAGCATGTCGAGGTTCTTGCGGAAGCGCAGAAACTGCCTCCCACCACCGCGTCTGGCAAGCACTGGAGTTGTTATCAAGCAGTTTCTGCCGCAGTGCGGTGCAAAATAAATGAACACAAGCAAGCATTGCTTGAAAAGAGTGGCGAGACCTTGGAAGACATGACAGAGCGGGAACGCCACCAATGGACTGCGGACTTATGTCAGCATCCCCAATACATGGGGCCTTCATGTGGCCACATTCCAGCCTTGCTCCAACGAACCAACTTGTGGCTTTTTGGGCAGCGGCGACTTACGCTGCCGAGTGAACACTTGGAATGTCAGGGGTGGAACCTTTTTGGTGACCCTGCTTGTTTGTACAAATCCCCAATCACGCCTGAGCAGCTTCAAAACATGAAGCCTGCACGGGTCAAAAGCTTTGCCGGGAACGGCATGCATCTGCAGGTCCTAGCGAGTGTTCTCGCATTTACAATTGGGATAATGGAGGCAGAAGTTTGACCCTGCCGCAACCAGCTTTGACCCTGATTTTGGAAAAAGCTTATGCGTTCAGCCGGCAATTCTTGTTGCTAGTACCATTGGTGGTAATGGCAAAGATGGCATCAAAGAATGATAATGTTAAGTTTGTTGACTTTTAAACAAAAAAAGGTCGCAATTATTCATATAAACAAGAATAACGGTACTTCAACTGATAAGAATATCATTGCTAGTGTTGCTAGTACTACTACTAAGAGTATAATATTAGAAAAAACATGTAGTAGTAGTAGTAGTAGTAGTAGTAGCAGTAGTAGCAGTAGTAGTACTAGTCGCCGCGGTAACCGCGGTCGCCGCGGTCGCCGCGGCCAAGTAGTAGTAGGAGTAGTAGTAGTAGAAGTAGTAGTAGTAGTAGCAGTAGTAGTAGTAGCAGTAGTAGTAGTAGTACCACTAGTAGTCGTAGTAGGCCGCGGTAACCGCGGTCGCCGCGGTCGCCGCGGTCGCCGCGGCCAAGTAGTAGTAGGAGTAGTAGTAGTAGAAGTAGTAGTAGTAGTAGTAGTAGCAGTAGCAGTAGTAGTACAAGTCGCCGCGGTAACCGCGGTCGCCGCGGTAACCGCGGTCGCCGCGGTCGCCGCGGTACTTAGATGTTCTGGTGTTTTGCTTATCAGTTAGGAGCATTAGAAACTTAACTAATTCGTTCTTAACTTCTTAGTAAACCACTCGTAACTTGTTATAACCAGTTATAACATGTTATAATGCATGTAACTGCTTTAAAAAAATTGCTCGTGTTATGAGTATTATGTACCTTTTGCTAACTTTTATGCTATTGCTCATAAAGTCTTTAAAATTTTAATGAAATTATGGCAGTTAGTTATTGTTAAGAATCCAAAAAAAACATGTTTTCAAATGCTAAACGAAAGTAGGAGCAAGAAGGAAAAAACACATTTAGGGATATTTAGGGTGCATACTGTTTGTTGAAATTATTGGCTGCTTTGTTTTTGTCACATTCCCATACCTGTAGAAAAAGCATTTCATGTTTTTTTTGCTTTTGTGTGTTTCATGAACTAAAACATCAGCCTGTACTGGCTTCAAATATCAAAGTGGTTTGGCATGCATGTGCCTGCTGCTGTCAAAGCCCCAACTTGAAGCCAACACAGGCTCCAACTTCAAGCCCGTACAGGCTCCAACTTCAAGCCCACACAGGCTCCAACTTCAAGCCCGCATAGGCTCCAACTTCAAGCCAATACAGGCTCCAACTTCAAGCCAATACAGGCTATTGCCAGCCAACCATGTCTTGAAACAGGAAGGCATTGATGACTTACACATTGCTTGAGTGGCCCAAGCCAAGTGAATTCAAATGGTTTGGCCTTGGTAATGCAGAAGTAACAGAGCATGACAAAGCATGATGACTGCTTGGGGGTGGCAATCCAAAGAAAATGAATGACAGGAAAGAGCAATCCAAAAAGAACACTTTCTTGAGAGCACTGAGCCATGGCTGCTTCTTCTTGGGTGGGGCAGCTGAAGCAGTTGGTGGGCGAAGTGCATGTGCCCACTAACCAAAAGGCTTCCAGGGCCATGGCAATTTTGAAGGAAGTTGGCCTTGCTTACATTGCCAAGCTTCGACCCAGGGACCTTCTAGTGCATCCATGCAACAGGGGAGGACAAATGGTGAATGGGTTCGATGTTGCTGCAAAAGGACAAGCTATTTGTGCAGTTGGTTGGGACATCAACAAAATCAGAGAGCCTGTTTGTGTTGAGCTGCCTTTTGATGCTGTGAAGAAAGCAGAAATCATTGAAGCAAACACCAAGCTGGCTGACCAAAGCAATGGAATGCTGGCCAAACCTTTTGGAAAGGAAAGGTGCTGCAGCATCAGTGCATCCCACACCACCAGCTTCTTGAGAGCCTTGGAAGCTGGGTGCACCTTTGGTACTGAACAATTGTCTTTGGAGCAGCTGCAAGCCAAAGGAGACGACCTTGGACAGCTTCTTCAAGAAGGATGGGATTGGACAGTAATTTCTGCAAAGGTGGAAGAGGAGATCCCAAGCTTGCCTTCTTTGCTTCAGCAAGCCTACAACAGCCACTTGGTGCAAAAGACCCCTTTGCAACCCAACCATGTTGTGTTTGGAGTTCCTGACCTGTTTTTTTGTTGTTCATTGGGAACCAATTCAGGTGACCATGGCATCTTGAAGCCACCAACCGAGCTGGAAGTGATGATGACCATTGCCCAGACCTATGAGTTGCAGCCCCAAGGCCACAAGGACTTGGGGAAAGCTGTTAGTCAAGCAGCTTCAAGCATGCCCCCTTGCAAGAGCTACATCAAAAGCATTGGTGACTTTGTGGGCAGCTTCGCTGGTGGTGAGAGCTTCAACTTGCTGAAATACCTGGACTTCGTTGGAAGCTTGGCAGCATGCATAAGCACAGGGATGCCTTTTTCCAAAGCTTCTACAAGCTTTTGCACCTAGCTTCTACAAGCTCAATTTCCCAAGGCTTCCATAAGCTGCTGGACTAGCTTTCACAAGCTCATGATAACCAAGTTGGTGCACCCACTGGCTCCAAACAATCAAAGCTTGTGCAAGGTTCAAGTGTGCTGTTTCATTGTTTTGCAGCTAAGGAAGATCATATGGTGCCAGTGTTCTGATGGGAGAAGACTTTTGCAACTTGGTGGCCTACACTGATTGGAAGATGGGCAGCACCACCCTCCCTTTCCTCAGGGTGGGCTTGTGTGCCACTCAGGTGACAGCACCTGCTGCTGCTGTGAAGGATGGCATCAGTAGAATGGTCAACAAGTCTGACTTTGACAAGTTGAAGCAAAAGAAAATGAATACTGAAGTTTTCAAAGCAGAGCAGCTTATGGCAGTTGCTTGGAAGACTTTGGAAAATTCTCAGCTGGCCTTTGAAAAGAAAGCCTTGCTGTTTGGAAAGCTCCAGCTTAAACTGGTTCTGCAGCTGCTGGGAAAAGAGTTGAAAGGAAGAGAGGGCAAGCAGTATCAGGACATGGATGCTGTGAGCCAGATGTTCGAAGAAGAGGTGAGGGAAAGCAGTGGCGGTGCTTCAGCCACAGGGACTTCGGCTGAAAGACCTGCAGAGCCAGTGAAATCCTTGGAAGATGCCAATGATCCCAAAGCCATTGCTTTGAATGCCAACAAGCACATCAAGCTGAACAAGCACTATGTGTTCAAGAAGGCAGAGGGCAAGGTTTGGAAGCTGGTGTCTTTGAAAGACACTGTGGCTAGCCTGGTCCACAAGCCTTTCTTTGAGCCAGAAGAACATCAGGATGTGCTTCACAGTGAACTGAAGGACTTGAAAGAATGGAAGAAGGATGCGCCTGAGCTTGTGAACCAAACCTTGGTGGAGAAACTGTCTCCCAGTGCTTCACTGACTTTGACAGAAGAGCTCCACAGGTGCAAGGCTCAATGTGCACTATTTGAGAAGCATGCTGAGCCACTTGGCTGATGTAAGTGGTTGAAGCATTGTGTGTCATTGTTTGTGAATCCAAACACAACACTGTTCAGCTTAGGCTTGGAGACCCAAAGCTCCTGGTGAGCAACCACCACCAAGTCTTCACTTCTGTCAAGGTGAACAAGGGCAAGTTGCTGCTGCTTCCCATGGGCACCTTGCAGCTTTTGCCCATGGACAAGATCCAGAAGCACCACTGCATCATCAGGTGCACTGACTTGGACAAGCAAGTCTTGCTGGTCCAAGCCTTCAAGTGCGACTTTGTAAAAGAAACTGGCTTGTTTTGTCCATACTGGATGGTCAAAGCAGGAAGCAATGCAGATGAGTCCCCACTTGCAAAGCAAATTGTCAAATATGCTAATTTGCAAATCCCTGCCTTGGTAAACAAAAAGCAGGTGGAGAAGCATACCCTTTTGCAAGTTGAGCCTGAGGAAGAAGATGCTTCTGGCTCCAAGAAGAAGAAAACTTCTTAGAAGTGCCTGAAAATGCCAACACTTTGCTGCGACAACATCACTGCTGAGCTGAAAAAATGCATGAACCACTTCTGCTGCTTAGCTAGTACAAGCTTTCCACAACTTGGCTCAGCTCCTTACACTGTTGTAGCTATTGCAAGCTCATACTTTCATGGGCTCAGTGGGCGCTTTCTGGGATGTGCTCTTTAGGCTCCAGCTAGCTGTTTTTGCCTGCCAACAATGCAGGTTTCTGAAGTAACAGCTTTGCAATACAAAGATTGACCACAGATGTTCATCCCTGACACTCTCATCCACACAGATTCAGGTGGCAGGAGATGGTTGAAATTGAGAGCCAGCAGTCCTACCATAGCAAAGCTTGTGCTTGGCCACATGGAGAAGTTCAAGAAGGTTGCAAACCCTTCTTTGGCTGCTTCGCCTCAACTCAAAAAGATCCAAGACAAGGTCAAAGCAGCTGTGCTTGGCAGTCAAGAGTTCCAGGATAATGGCAAATGCAGAAGCAGAGAGCAAGGACAAAGGCAAGAAGGCTTTGAAAGATTGCTTGCAGAAGGCACCTCCCATTGTTGAAGTGGACCTTGGTGAGCAAAGGGTTGCACTGAAGACACCCAAGTCTTGGAAAGAAAGTGACATCTTTGTGCCTTTGGAGCCAGAAAGCTTGACTGCAGTTTGTGATTTCATTTGTGAAGATCTAGGCCAGGAGAAAAAAAGAGTTTATAACAGAACTGGGAATTTCACCAACAAAAAGCTGAAGGGAAATGACCAGGAATAGCAGGGAGTTTGACCACCTTGCAAAAGCAGCTGGCAAAAGACCTTTGATGCAGCTAGGTAAGTAGAAGCCCATGTAGGCTTGCATGACAGCCAAAACAGGCTCTTGTGTGTAGCCTCTGTAGGCTCTTGTGTGAAGCCTTTGCAGGCTGTTGTGTGTAGCCTCTGCAGGCTCTTGTGTGAAGCCTGTGCAGGCTGTTGTGTGTAGCCTGTGTAGGCTCTTGTGTGTAGCCTATGTAGGCTTTTGTCAGTGTAGCCTTTTTAGGCTTCTTTCCCCTGTGCAGGGTCATCTTCCACTTGCTGCAGCAATGTTTGCTCAAAGGCTTGAGCAACAGGATGGCTAAGACCATCCCTGATGATGAAAAGCTCAGCAGGCTGTATGAAGAGTGGAAAGATAGGGCCCAGGAACTAACCACCTCTTGGCTGTCTTTTGGCACCAAATCTGTAGTGTCTCTACTTTGTAGCTTCAAAAATGCCAACCCACCTACTCACCCACTTTCACCCTGAGGACGAAGTGGAGGATCAAGATGCTGAAAGGACCCACTACAAGAAGGAGACTTGGCTTTATGCTGCTGTGTTACCATAGCCCTTAGAGGCTTCAGAAATCCAGCCTGTGCAGGCTACATTTTTTTAGGCCAGCAGAGGCTGCAAAAGAGTTTTGTACTTCATTCTTGGGCACGCACTCCAGGCTGAAGTAAAGGATGAAGACTCAGAAGAGGAGGAGATTTTAGAGGAAACTCCACAGGACTGATATTGATAAGCAGCTTCATTTTAGCTACTACACTTGTAGTTTTGATTTGAAATCATTTCATTTTCTGAACATTGACTGCAGGAAAAGCAAGAGGAAGAGAAACACAGGGATTCCTGGGAGAATGACACAGTACTTGACTCAGACTATGTGCATTGCATTCTGATTCAAAAATATGTTGCTGGCAATGTTTTTGAATAATGTTTACTTGGTCACTCTTACTTCAGGAGCCTCCTTCCCCAAAGAGCTCAAAGGGATGTGGAAAGGATACAGTGAAGGCACCTTTTTTTGGGGAGTGATGGACTTTGATGACACTTGTGTGAAATTGTGATGAAACTTGTCTGGGATATATTTAGGTTGAAATTGTGATTCCATTTATCTTGGCAGGATGAAAACCTTTCTGCACTTGATCAAATTCTTCAGCCTTTGGGGGCAGTGGCTGCAAAGCTGGCTGCACCTGTGTTTGTGACTTGGCTTTCAAACCATTAGCCTGTACAGGCTTCCAAACAGTAGCCTCTAGAGGCTTTGCTGCATTTTGCCCAGCATGGTGATGTCATATTTGCTATTTGGTATATTTCCAGCCTGTACAGGCTTCCATGTCAAGTAGCTCCCACTGTCAATACTATGATTTCTAAATTCATGGACCCTTTGCTTAAGTTGAAACACTCAGGTGAAGCCAACAGCAAAGATGGCTGCAAAGCGACCTGGAGTACCTGAACCCGACTGTGCACCTTCTTCCTCCAAGGCAGCTGTGCCTAAGGCCCATCTACCCCAACCACTGTTTAAGAGAAGGAAGGTGGAAAATAAGCCTGAAACAGTGGGCACCGTGGTCACAGACAAGGGGGTGGATCAAAGACTACTTCAACAAGATGTGAAAAAGGATGAGCAAAGTGAGGTGGAATGGGAAGCAGTATGGGATGATGCCACCCAGGCACTGTGGTGCAAGGATCAGATTACTCCTGGACTTTGGTGGTTCAAGAAGACTGGTGAGACCTGGAGACGATGGAAAGACAAGACAGTGCCCTGGCTCAAGGTCGCAACTTGTTTGGATTCTTTTGTTGTGGTTGCATCATTTTGCTTGGATTATGCATCATTGATGGAATGTATATTCCAAAAACAAATCAGCAAAGTTAAACCAATGTTTGACACTTCAGGTTTGGTGTATCAAAACCCAGGATCCCATCACAGAGAAGACAGGAGGCTGGTGCAACAAATGTGCAGCTCTTGTACATATGAGCCAGGTTGGGGAGCTCAAGGAATTGGTGAAGTACCTGCATAAGCTTTCTGAACACAAAAGCTTAGCAGCACCCTTGGAAAGGGTGGAGCGCAAGTACAAAGCTGAAGGCTCCAAGGCTTACAAGTGCTTCATCTGAGACAGCATCCAAGGTGAAAAAAGGCTGCAGTGTAGCCTTTGCAGGCTTTGTCTTTTTTTGCTTCTAGCCTTTCCACAGGCTTCCAAATTTGACATGTTGTAGCCACTACAGGCTTATCCATGATAAGCCACCATTGTAAAATTAAAGGTTTATTCATTGTAGCCTGCACAGGCTTGTGCTTGACATTCTTCCAATTTATGCTAGCTTCCTCAAGGCAACTTTTACCTCACAGGCATTCAAAGAAAACAGCTATGCTTTGACTTCAATCAGGAATTTGTATTGATTATATGTTTTATTTGTTGAAATTGATCTTCATCAAGCTAAAAACAACAATCCACAACAACAGAAACTCAGTTCAAACTTGCAAATTTATAGTTTCAATTTGAAACTGTGAATTCAAAATCTTAGACGGAAAATTTTGGCCTTAAATTTTCAATTCAAAATATTGAATTGAAAATCTCAATCTTGAACTTTAAATTCAAAATATTGAATTGAAAATCGCAATCTTGAACTTTCAATTCAAAATTTTGAATTCAAAATCACAATCATTAACTTTAAATTCAAAATCTTGAATTGAAAATCACAATCTTGAACTTTCAATTCAAGATTTTGAATTGAAAAAAACACATCAACTTCAACATTCAATTTTATTTTTTGAAAAACAATGATCACACACTATGATTTGAACATTTTTTTGCTCACCTTGAGCACAAAAATCCTCTTGCATTCCAGCCATGTCCTTGCCAAACCGCTTTGAAGTTGCATTTCCATATGACCTTGGAGAAGTTATTCTGGATGGGGATGAAGATTCCCAAGTGGTTGTCTATGAAAACGGAGAAGTCACCTCATGGGCTCGACAATTTCAGAAGTGGAGGAACTATTTCCACATTCCAGATGATCTTCCATCATCATCAGCATCCAGTGATGCTTTGGATGAAGCTACAACAGAGTCTGAGAATCAAAACTGCCAAGGACAAAAGAGGAATGCTGAGGAGGCAGGCTTGGAGCTGAATTAAACTTTTCCCAGTGACAATGTCCCAGTGACATAGTCTTTGCATAACATGCTTTGCAAACTATTGCATTCTTTGGTGCAATTTGAATTGTGATATACCTTCCCCTGAAGAAAGCTGACTGCGCTCAGTTGTCCAAAAAAAAGCAGTGCTGCCTTTGGAGCCTTTACAGGCTTTATCTGATTCCAAGCCCCTACAGGCTTTGTTACCTAATGGTTCACTCAACATGCTGAAGCTTGTGCAAGCTACTTGTCATGTTGTATGGTAAAGCTTTCTTGGCAGCTACCATTTGGAGCTTCAAGGTTTGGATCTTTTGGCCTCACAGCAAAATGGCTTGGGTGCCTTCCAATATTAGATCAGAGATGCAAGCCATTGCCAAGCTTCTGCAAGCTAGGCCTGGTGTGCAAGAGCTGGAGCAGAAGCTGTGTGCTTCCTTGCTCAAAAAGCTTGTGCTCATGCCACCTATTAGCAGTGCTGACCTGGTCATGTGCTATGAAAGCTTGAAGGAAGCCAACTTACCAGACAAGATGAACCATGATGTCCTCAAGGCATTGGATAACTTGGCCACCACCGACACCCACAACAACATAGTGGGCAAGTTGGCATCCAGTGGTCAAGAGTGCAAGTATTTCCACAAGTACCTTACCCAGAAGGACAATGCTGACTTGCAAACATGCTCTATGTGGGAAGGATGTTTGGTGATTTCCAAGAGGCTCAAACTGCTGGGCATCTGTGGCATGAAGGAAAGTTTAAAGAAGGTTTGCTTGGGCATTTTGGTGTGGCATGAAATGCAAAGGTGCAAGGCCCAGGCTCCAAGTGTCAGAGCTGTCTACAGCTTGGGGCATGATTTAGTCAATTCTTTGCGGAATTTGGCCTTGGAGGTCCCAGCCCAAGCTACTTGCTTAGCTTGCTACCCAGAGGACCCTGACCAGCTTCCAAAGGATCACTTCATGGCATCTTACCAAAATGAGCAGCCTGAGAAGAAAAACTACCCTCAGTTGGCTTTCATCATCCAAAAGCATGTGAAGGTAAGAAATTCAGCTTCTGAGTTGGCTGATGAACTTTGAATGCAGTTATGGCATGTTGTAAATTCTTTTGGGTGGCCTGGCTAGGTTGGTTTGTGTGTGTGACAGTTTCTGTCTAGGAGCATTTGTTGTGCTTTTATTCCGGGTCTTAGGACAAGGTGCCCAAGCACGAACCACCCAAGCAAGTTGAACCATCAGCTTCTTCTTCTTCGAGCAGTATGAATGATTTGCTGTGCCTGCTGGGTCATTTCCACCAGGCTTCCAACTTGATCCTTGGCACAGCTGGTGGGGCCATGGACCTTGGGAACAATGTTGGCGCCAAAGCTGGGGCCACTGTTGAAGCTAGTGCTGCTGGCCAAAAGCCAATCAATGACACTGCCCCTGCTCCAAGCCAAGTTGCTGCCAAAAAAAGCAGCAATGAATCTTTGGAAAATGCTCAGGTTGTGGGGCATTTGCCTGTGGAGAACAACCCCAATGACAGGCCTGGCAAGACTTTGGAGGACTTTGAGAAGGAGAACTTTGCCAAACTTGAAGCAAGGGAGAAAGCAAAGAAGTGCCATCCTACCCCAAAGGGAAAGGCCTTGAAGGTTCTCAAAAGGCCAGCCAGCCAAGCATCCCAGACAAAAGTTGTCAAGGACAGGGAAGTGAAGAAGCCATGCAGCACAAGTGCCAAAAGTGCAAAGGTACCTGGCAAACAGGTGTTGGGCTGCTCCAAGTGCAGAGGGCAGAGCTGTGTTCAGTGCAGAAACCCAGGTTTCAAGGGCCAGCTTTACACCAGGCAGCAGTGGATCGCCAGAGCCAAAGTGCAAAAGCTTAAGTAGGTGCTGCAAAGATCCAAAGGGGTTTGTGATGTGGCTTGGAAAGCAGCATCCTTTGGGGGTTCAAGGTGCAGAGGACCACCTTTTGCAAGGTGACTGCAGCTGGGCAAGCTTGTGAAAATACATTGCGCACTCCAGCTTTTACAAGCTCAGCTGCATGAGAGTTTGCCTTGTCTGGTTTTGTGTTATTCTGGTAGTTCAGCTTTGTGTGTGAGCCTTTCTAGGCTGATGCTGAGCCCATGCAGGCTACTGACCATGCAAAACCTTCACTACTTCATAGCTTCTAAAGGCTGCTGCCATGGCTGAAGCATGAAAGAAGCAAGCCTTGTGCAGCTGTGACCAAGATCTCAAGCCATGCCTGGCCTTGCTTCCAGCTTAGCTAAGCACAAGGTGGTGCCTGGTCGCAATGATGGCAACATAGTCTCTGACTTCAAGTCTTGGGTGGACAGCAATGGCCACAAGACCTACTGGTTTGTCAGCGTGCACCCTGGAGGCCTGGCTGTTGCTAAAGGTTGCAAGATGTTTCCAAAAGTTGATTTTTTAAAGACAACAGCTCGATGTTTCTTCCAACCTGGCAGGATGGCAGGATTGGATGACTTTGGACGCCTTTGTGGATCAGATCCAGGGAAACATGAACCTTCCACCTGAAAAGTTTGAAGAGGTGGTGGTGGAACTCCAGTACTATGTTGAGTTTGGTGTGTGGCCCAAACCGGAGGCTTTGCTTGGATGAGCTCACAAGGACTCATCTCCTCACCTCCTACAGCAGTGTTTGAAAAAAGGCTGTTGCAGCTTAGCCAGTATAGGCTTCCATTCAGCCATAGCAGGTTTCCTTGTAGCCATTATAGGCTTCCATTCAGCCACAACAGGCTTCCTTGTAGCCATTATAGGCTTCCATTCAGTCATAGCAGGCTTCCCTGTAGCCATTGTAGGCTTCCATTCAGCCATTGCAGGCTTCCTTGTGGCCAATTTAAGCGTCCATTCCTTCTGCAAGCTTCAAGAAGCTTAGCAAAGCTTTGACAAGTTTGTGCAAGCTTTTGTGTGAATGAAACTGTTGTGTGTACCAAAGACTTTTTCATGCAGCTTCAAAGCTTCAACAGAAACTGTCATATGTTGGGATTCAAAAACAACCATTGTTCCAATTTCAAAGTGTAGAAAGCACTTGCATGCCCCAAACTTCCAAAACACAACAAATTTGAACAGGCACCCGTTTTGTGCTTCAATTCCCAACACCTAGACACCATAAATTTGCAATGTACTTTTTGGATGTGTTGCCTTTGGTGCCAATGCCATGGATGGGGGGGCTGCCTGGTAGCAAAAGAAGGAAGATAACTGACTTGAGGCATGCAATTCCTTTTTGCTCACGAAGTGCATTGGAAGCAATTTGCAAATACATTGCTGCACATGGGCTGCCTGACAAACACAGAAGGCAAGACATTTGGAAAGAAACCAAAGAGTTTCTAGAAAATGATGATATGTCCAAGTATGGGCCATTGTTCCACAGAAGCAAGGCCATCACACTCAAGAACGAAGAGCAAGTGGTGTTGCACATCAACTTTTTGTCTCTTTTGGCTGGTGTGTTTCAGAAGGGTGGTGCATTCACTGACTTCCTGTTGAAATTTCGCAATGCAAGGCCTTCAAGTTTAGAGGAACCTTGGCAAGCTGTAGTGTACTGTGATGAATTCCACCCTGGCAACGTATTGAATAGCACTTCCAGGAAGCTATGGTGCATATACATTTCCTTCTTGGAATTCAAACAGATGCTGAGCAAGGAGAACATGTGGTTCTGCCTGGCTACTTGCAGGTCCACTGAAGTGTCCCAGCTAGCTGCAGGGATCAGCCAAGTGTTTAAACTGGTGATGGAGCACATGTTTTGCCACAATTCCCCAGACACGGGGATTCTTCTTTCTTCTGCAAAGGGTAGCCTCCGACTTTTTTCTACCCTTGGAATGGTATTGCAAGATGGGCAAGCTCAAAAACTAGTGTGGTGCAACCGGCAAGACAGTGGCAGCAAGCCTTGCATGATGTGCAATAACATTTTCCAGCTGAAAGATGCAGAGTCTGCTGACATGAATGATTGCCAAAAGGTTTTCAGCAGGTTCACAAAACTGTCACAGCTACACTTGGCCACTGATGCTGACATACTTCAATCTTGGCACAGACTCAAGGACAAGAAGGACACTGTGCCTGCTGGTGTTTTCAGCAAGTGGCAGCAAGCTGCAGGAGTTACATTCAGCCCTCATTGCTTTATGGCCAGTGAAGCATTGCAAGGCTTGAATCTCATCAAGCCTGTGTCAATGTATTGCTTTGATTTTATGCATGGCATGTGCAGCCATGGCTTGATGCAGGACACTATTTTCTTGGTGTTGGAATCTTTGAACAAGAATGGGCACAAGGTGTGGGATACCTTGCATGATTGGGTAGGCCTATGGGTGCTGCCCCATGGCTACAGCTGCAACTTGAAGAGCTTCTTTGGGACAAAGAGTGTGAACAGCTACAGAAAGGCTGGCACTTTCAAAGCTTCTGCATCTGAGATGTTGTGCATTTACAAACTTTTGCAATTCTTTTTGCAAACGATGTTTCTCTGCAACAATGTGATGGTAGAGCAATGCATGTGTTTTCTGTGTTGGGCAGATGTGCTAGACTTCTTGGTCAGCATCCCTGCCTTTTTGGACCCCCCACGTGATCAGCTTGCACGATTGGTGGAAACTGCTCTAGAAGCAACTGTGGCAGCAGGCTTTGCTGATGACATGAAGGCAAAACACCATTGGACTCTACATTACAGTGTTTGCTTGGAAAGGTGGAAGCAGCTTCCTACATGCTGGGCAATGGAAAGGAAGCACAAAACTCCAAGGAAGTTTGGGTCAGCACAGTGCAACCTTGCCACTTATGAAATTGGCATCATGTCTGCTGTTACTTCAGAGCATATCAGCATTTTGTTGCAAGATGAAGACTTGTACAAAACAGGTTGCTATTTGGTTGAAGCCCACCGCTGTTCAAAGAATTTGGAAGGTTTGCTGAAGCAGTGCAATCTTTGGGTTGAAGGCATGGCCAGCTCCAGTTCATGCAGGCTGCAATGTGGCATGATTTGCAAAGCAGGTGATGTGGCTTTCCTAAGGGGCACACTTTCCAACACGCCTTCTTTCAAATGGGGGTGCTGCCAAGTCAAGCATTTTTTGCAAGCAGGCAACTTGAAGCTGTGTGTGGTGGATATGTTCAATTTCTTGGAGGCAAGGGCCAACACATTTGCAAGTTCTTGGCAAGGTACCACTGGGTCCTTGAAGTTGATTTCAGCAGAGAACATTCTGCAACCAGTGCTTTGCACTTTTGGAAAGAGTGGCAAGCTTACATGCTTGACTCCTGCACCATTGGCTTGCTGCAGCTGAAAAAAGAGCTAACCAGCAGTAGCCCAAGGTGTAGCCCATACAGGCTCAAGTGTCAGCTTGCACAAGCTCCTTTTCCAAAGGCAACTGTTAGCTTATGCAAGCTCCAGTGTCAGCTTTTGCAAGCTTCTTTTCCCAAAGCAAGTGCAAGCCTGTGTAAGCTTCAGTGTCAGCTTTTGCAAATTTCTTTTCCACCATGCATAGGGTAGCCAAAGATACAAGAGGTCCATGCAGGGTTGGAAGTTTGTTGGCTGATAACTTGGCTGTGGTTTGAAAGTTTGCTGTTTACAAAATATATCATGCAGTGCCTTGGGCACCAAAAAGTGGAGGGAAGGTTTGAAAGTGAACACCTGCATTTCTGTTTGTGGTGGTTTGAAATATATTTTGGTGGCTACCATTTTGGGGTAAACTGGTGTTGCTGACAAGGTGCCACTTGGTCGAACATGTTCATGTGGCAGCTGCACTTGCAAAAATGGCACCTCATGTGGGCAAGAATTTCCACTTCTTCGGTCTGCAATTTAATTTCAAAAGATCTTTTTTTTAAAAAACAACTTGTGTCAATGTCTTTTTTCAAATTTAGGAAACCCAAAAAAATGGTTTCAACACACAAAAAAAATCACATAGCTAACGAGTTATAACTAGTTAGCAAAAATTAGTTAACTATCTTAATGCTCTTAACTGCTTAGCAAAACACCAGAACATCTAAGTAACCGCGGTAACCGCGGTCGCCGCGGTAACCGCGGTCGCCGCGGTCGCCGTGGTCGCCGCGGTCGCCGCGGCCAAGTAGTAGTAGGAGTAGTAGTAGTAGAAGTAGTAGTAGTAGTAGTAGTAGCAGTAGTAGTAGTAGTACCAGTAGTAGTCGTAGTAGCAGTAGTAGTACAAGTCGCCGCGGTCGCCGCGGTCGCCGCGGCCAAGTAGTAGTAGGAGTAGTAGTAGTAGAAGTAGTAGTAGTAGTAGTAGTCGTAGTAGCAGTAGTAGTACAAGTCGCCGCGGTAACCGCGGTCGCCGCGGTCAACCGCGGTCGCCGCGGCCAAGTAGTAGTAGGAGTAGGTAGTAGAAGTAGTAGTAGTAGTAGTAGCAGCAGTAGTAGTAGTAGTAGTAGTAGTGGTAGTAGTAGTAGCAGTAGTAGTAGTACCAGTAGTAGTAGTAGTAGTAGCAGTAGTAGTACTAGTCACCGCGGTAACCGCGGTCGCCGCGGTCGCCGCGGTAACCGCGGTCGCCGCGGCTAAGTAGTAGTAGCAGCAGTAGTAGTAGTAGTAGCAGTAGAAGTAGTAGTAGTAGTAGTAGTAGTAGTAGTAGTAGTAGTAGTAGTAGTAGTAGTAGCGTATTGGCTATGAGCTTTTGGCTCAAAAGATGCTCTTGTAACAATTTTACTCACATGGCCAACACAGGTGCTGGACTGGTCAGGAAAAAAGTACAAAGATTCTTGTTCTCAAGACATTCAATCATTGGAATCATTCGGCAGAAAGCATAGAATGTAACGCAATTCTCACATCATTCGAATCATGCCTTAGTTGCCCAGCAACGCCTGCACAGCATGAAAGGAAAAGAGGCAAAATGTGCTGTCAATGTTGCTCCTATGAAAGAAAGAAAAAGAAAGAACAGCACATCGGGAGCAGAAACATGCCGGCAGCAGAAAAGGATCGCAATGCCTTTAAGCAAATATGAGCGGCTTACCATGAGCGTCGCTGATGCTGAGTCCCAAAGAAACGAAAAGCTGTTGGCGATAGCGGCGCAGAAACCTTCTTTGCGTCAACATATCATCTGCGGCGCAGATGCCGCTTTGTGGCGGGAGCGGTCTAACATGAGATCCGCTGATGCGGAGGCCTACCAGCATGAACGCAAACTCATGGCATGCACAGTGCGAAATATGGACAGTGATGCCAAGACTTTGGCCAAGCAATTGCAATGGCACGAAACATTACGGGATACAACGCAATCCCTTTCTCGCGCAAACTTGCTGCGGCACCAGGGTTGCCTAGCTGGATCATCCTTGAGGGGATGAAGATCGGAGAAGCGGTCCAGGATCGCCAAATTCCAGCAGTCCGCACCGCTGACGCCATTAGGACACGGCAGGCAAAAGGTAACAAGGCATCCGCTGCAGGATCTGTGGCCACCTCCAGCACACAGAGCGGACATGCGCAGAATGCAAAGGAAGCGGTCTGTGGATCGCAATAGCTTGCGAATGTTTTTTCAGGTCTGCCGCTGTCTGACGCAGCAGGCCAGGGCGAGGTGACGTCGCTTGAAACATAGCGCACCATTCAAGCAAATCAGTGGAGGAAAAAAAACGCAGCTGGCGTGAAGGGGTTTCCGTGTTAGATTTTTGTTGCATATGGAGTACATACTTAAATCGTCAACATATCACTCCGTTGATTTTGGCAATTTTATTGAAACATGCTTCCATGTGCAGACTTGCTCATACGCACCTTTCATACCTCTGGCTATATGCACTGTTCATCATTAAGTCAACATTGCACTGCATGCATGGCAGCTCCTTTTTTACTCAATTCCATCGTCGCTCTTTCCACCATCGCTTGCCGACCTCCTTCATCACACGACGCGATGGCCATGAGAATGGACATGGGCTGCAGCGGGGCGCCGCATGGCGCTGGACCTACTGGACCGTGCACCCTCTTCTGTGCTGTCTTCCATTGGCTGCATCGTGGCAGCGGAAGACACCGCGAGTTCTTGTTCTTGACAGAAGACGGAACGGTGGCCTTCAAGCGGGTCACGAAAAATAAGCACACCGCAGTATCTCCAGCGCATGGCGTATGGAAACTCTCGCGCGCTGGCAATGGTTTGCGCTTGGATATCCAGCGGTTCCACTGCACAGGTTGGCGAGAGTACTTGAGGGACCATACCTTTGTGCAGGTGGGACCTCCACATCCGTTTCGCATGAAGGATGTGGAGGACCGACGCGATATTACATTTGTCGGTTTGTTTTGGATCGACTTGCACAAGACCCTCCCTGCTCCACCGCAGCAGGCACTTCCGCTTCCGCGGCCAGCAGAGTGGTTGGCTCTGCCAGCGGAGGCGCAGCCGCCAGCGGAGACGCTAGCAGTGGCTCTGCCCCTGGCAGCGGATCTCCGCCCTGAAGAATGGGAATGGGAAGTGTTGGAAGCTGCAGCCCGTGACGAGGAATTAGCCCAACATCTGATGGAAGAAGAAGGTTGGGTTCTAGCGGAGCCGTCCGCCCCTTTTATCCCAGGCGTTTACCAATAGGTAAACACATCCCACAGCAAAGCTGTGAGATCTTTGGGACATTCTTGTCTGCTGGAATCGTATCGCCGTGTGTGATACTTTACTAGGAAAATCATTAAAAATTCCAAACAGGAATTCGCAGCGCAGCAAAATGGCCGGAAATCTTTTAGTTTCAAAGAAAGTTCACATGTATGTCACGAAATCCGCAAGTGTGTACTTCCCACACAATCTGGGGTATGATTTTCTGAGCTGGGTGTGCCGTTTTTTGCTTGTGTCAGCTTCAAAAATGTGTTCTGTAGCATGCCAGATCAAGAGTAGAGGCAACATAACCGACCAAAACAAATCGAAATCTCTTTTGTTTTTTGATAGGAGAAGAAACCGTGCTTTTGGTGTTTGTCAGTTGATGCCTAAAAACCTCTTGGCTACTCGCACTTTCAAATTTTGACAGCAATCTATAAAGCTCCTGTGCACCGCCGTGGCCCTGGCCAACATGGACGTGCCTCCGGAGCCTTCTTCGGGGATGCTCTCTTTGCATTTGGAAGCAGAGAGGGGCACTGAAGGGAAAAGTCTTTTTTTTGCCGAGCCAAGCCACAGCGGCCAGAAGAGCGGTGATGCCGCGTCAATTTCCGACGACGACGACGATGCACATGAAAAAAAGAAGAAAAACAAAAAACGAAGAAGGGCTGAGAGAGCAGCAGCGGAAGCCGCCAAAAAAAAAGAACAAACAGAGGAAAAGTTTAAAAAATGCACAAGTTATTGCGGAAGACGCAAGGCCTTGTCTGACTTCAATGCTGACCAAAACTCTTGCAAAGATTGTGTATTGCACCAAAAAGCATTTTGGCGCCAGGCCAAAAGCCAGGGATGTGAGAAAGACATGAAAGATCTGGTAAAAAGCGATCCGAAAATGGCATTGGATGTGCAGAAAGAATTTGCAAAGGAGCGGATGCAAGCCGCAGCACAGGAGAAAAAAATTAAATTCAGTATCCAAGCTTTCCGCAAAACATTGGAAAGCCGCAGCGGCGAACGCTCAGACGAAGTCAAGAAGATGATGTGGGAAGGCGAGTGGATGGAAGAAAGCAAGAAGGCCAAATACGGATACTTGGGAAAAGAGGAAGCGGAACAAAAGTGGCAACAATGGATGTCGGACCCATCCGTGGCCAAAGATCAAAATGGTCCCCGTGGATTTACCCGCCTTGCCATTCCGCACAAGACACTTTTGTCAGGCTTCAGTGAAGTTGCTGCGAAAAAGGAATTCACGCAGGAAGAGCGGTTATCTCGCAACGCAACAGATGCAACAGTGGCGGCTCCAACGCAGAAGAAGAGGCCGTGGGTGGTGTCAAGCTGGCAGACATTAAAAAAGAAGCAGCGCAACATGGTGTGGACATGGCAGAGATGTATGCCGCCCGCGTTCCCGACGCGATAGAAGCGGCAGAGAAGAAACGCCGCTTGAGCGGCAGAACAAGAGGAGACAAAGCCGCAGAAGGGGATGGCGACAAAGAAAAACAAAGCGATGATGAATCTCAAGACAGCAGCAAAGATTCTGACGCAGATTGCCCTACGCCCAAACCCAAAGCAGCAAAATGGTTCGATGCAGAAACAAAGTGCCGAAAGGCAGAAAGAACATGGGTGACAGGTCTGGAGGATCTGGCAAATTCGGTGCAAACCCTTTTGAAACAATGCGCTGACTGTCTCGATGGTTTCCGCGGAAAGCCTGAGGCCAACAAGTTCACCGAGGAAATGTCCATTCTAGAGAAGCGGCAAAAATGGGCTGCCGCAATCATAGAAGCAGATGATGCAGCATT